TAATAAATTATACGATACAAAATAAGAAACTGAAATCCTGATGGTAAAGTCATCATGTTATTAATATATGTATATGCTGAATGCTTAAAATCTGATTTAAATAAAAATTGTGGAATCACTGAGTTTTATTCTAAAACATCTCTATCTCGCTGTGTCTGTCTGTCTGCCAGTCTCTCTCTCTCTCTCTCTCTCTCTCACTCTCTCCCTGATAAACTCCCCCGTCGAGTTCGACGTATGAGGATCCGACAAGTTCATTTAGTTTTGATGTTTGTGTCTTATGTGACACTTCATTCCCGCTAATGATATGCATAAAATTCCACATATTACGCAACAAAAGGGATCTTGGGACATATCCACAGGAATATACGCTGACGCTTTTCACCGCTGTCTTTCGCCTCTTACACGGTTAATACGAGTGATTTGAAAACTTCTGATGCTATTCTGGCACAGACACATACAGTTATTTCTATCCTGGACAACTCGCTCGAAGTTAGTATGAGGCACATTTACATCTGAGAGGTTACAGTTTAGCTTTCTTTATAGCTGAGCCACGGCTGTCCAACAGCCCTTTGTCCGCTGTATATATATATATATATATATATATATATATATATATATATATATATATATATATATATATATATATAGCTTTAATTAGAAATTAAATAAAAATCCAAAATTTCTTAAGATACATATATATATATATATATATATATATATATATATATATATATAGATATAGATAGATAGATAGATAGATAGATAGAAAGATATATAGATATATGGATAAATAGATAGATAGATAAGGCAAAGATTAATTAAGTTTTTTCTTCTTATTTATTTATACTGGGTTGTATATAAATTTATACACTGAGGTCTCATGATGGAGTTTACTTTTTAATATTTTTACATTAAAAGACCACGTTAGAATAAACCCCTATCACCTACGCATATATATATATATATATATATATATATATATATATATATATATACACGTGCGTGCGTGTTTGTATCTTTGAATATTTCTCTTTCTCCAGTAAATGAAGTCGTCCAGTAATTAAAGAGTTCGTTTTCCAAATGCCATTCTCAACGGCACCAGTTCTGTGTTTAGAAGGTGTGAACGAAAACAAGGCAATAAAAATTAGTGCTGTACAAACAGTCGGAATGCTATAGTAATTTGGTGATGAAAGAAAAGTAATTATAAAAGGACTCAAGAAAAAAGTGAAGAATTTAAACAAAATGTCGGACGCTGGCGACGTTCTCTTAGTTTGATTTGCTAATTCCTCTGCGGAAAAAAATTATCTTTATTTTAAATGTGTTTTTCAAGTTATTCTTTTCACTTACAATAGGATAATTTAATTATTCTGTTAATTTTTTACGTATGAATCTATATAGTTTTTTTAAAAAATATTTTGTCGTTTTTCTTATTTGCTTTCTTGCGTCTTTTTTGCTCTTGTTGCTTTGTTCTCATAATAGTCGCCTTCCTATTTCCATCGTCTGAATTTAAACTCTTTTCTTTTTTGTTTATTCATCTTTCTTATGTTCAGCGTTTTCTGTTACAGACGACTGTGGCTCGGTTTAGAAACGAACAAGAAAACATTTTGTCATAATTATTAGAGCGATGTTTTATATCTTTTAGATAACGCACCCCATTTACAAATCAAAAAATTATATAGGAAATGTTGTCTTACATCATTACTCAAATAAATTGAATTTTCCACTGGTTATCAACATTTTCCAGTTCATTCGAAGCTAGAATATATATTTTTATAGTAATAATTTAGCGCAGATAATAATGATTTACTGATGCAATTCTTATTAACTAACCCATAGCTGGGAAGAATGATGAATTCATATATTTTCGAAGGTTATTTACGTCTAATTGTAATATGACGAATCCTACTGGAATTGCAACTCGGCTCTCCAATTCCGAGCCGTTAGTCATTAGATCAGCTGCCCATCCAAGCTTCCAGCACTTGCTATTCCCAAGTGGCTAGCTATCTAGGTACTCATCATTCTCGACGTTTCTTAACACGATATGGCCGTAAGTTAATCCAATAAATTTCTCACACAATGACATACACCTATGCAGACCATTTTCTTAGGGCGTAGAGTTCATTCTTCATTATAAACATAATTAATAATACTTTTTCTAACCTTCTCTTAGTAAGGAATTCCAGTCGATAAAATACTGAAGTAGTAGCAGATTTGTAGTTTTGTTCGCTAAGATGGTAATCTATTAAGAGTTAGCCTTATTATTGTGGGGATTAAACTAAACTTTGCATATGTAAATAATGTATGAAATTTTTTCAGAAAACACATTCGCCTTTGTCTACAGCACAGAGTTAGAGAAAAACCTTCTGTATGTGATGTGTGTAAGAATTTTGAGGAAAATATTGAGTTCGTTTCCTGCTTTCTAACAGAAAATTTAACAGGAAACAAATCGAATCAATCTAATTGCAAATTCAACAGATGTTAAAAGCTCAATGCGCAAAATGGTCATAGCATCTGATAAAGTAATTTTTTGAATCTTTCTTATAATCAGAATTCACTTGCACGAGATACCATATTGGAATTGGACTATATTTGGAATAGCTAATGTTTAAGTTTTTTTCTTAGGCTAAGAGTTTTTTAAAGTCATCTTTATAATCATAGATAATATTCCTCGTCTGAAGAGCTGATGTGCCTCGCTATTCACATTTCCGAGGCAAAAATCGGATGCGCAAGGTTAGCGTTTCACCTGAGACGTGAAAAAGTGTGTATTAGTCCAGAAGCAGACGCTACACATATCTCTCGTAATGAAATGTTCATTTTAGCAGCGCCATCAGGATTTTGGCCTCGATGCAAGAGAAATTGGCTTTGTCAGTTTTGGGATGATTTCATGCCAAACTATTTGCCAGATAGATTGCAAAAATTATTCCTGCTATATGTTAGACTGTTTGTATGTTAATGAGATTAAACTCAATGTAAAATTTAATAGCCTTCGTCCTTTTAATACAGACAATTTTCCTCATTCACACGTATTATATTTCTATACGAGTGTACTGTTCTCAAAATCATTATCACTGTCGTCTGAAAACGTATTAAACGTTATATTTCTTTTTTACAGTAATATTCACACTCTACTAGGCCGAGGAGCCAATCAAGGTACAGGGTTACATTAGGAGTCCATTTATGTGGATAGGTGTGGAAAACAACGGTTAATTCTAAACTTGAACGGGTTAAGATTGTAGTGATGGGGGGTATTTTGTTGAGAATAGGTTCCACTGGGAAGTGGTTCACGGAAAGAAGCTGTTAGAGTTTAACATACATCTCTCCGATGGAATTCAGAGGAAATGTAAGTGTTTTGCTATTATGTAAGTGGCATGGCGTATTCATGTTGCGAAAGTTTCACTTCACGTAGTTTAATTCGTTGGAGCAGTTTCCTGTTGTAGAGTAGCAAGAGGCTTGACATATTAGGGAGTGGAAAATAATTCTACAGCCACAAGAGCCCCGAGACGCTTTTGGGCTCGACCAAGGCTGAAGAGTAAGGTCTGGGTAGCTCCCGATGAAATCTATTCTACTAGAGTTTGGCATTCATCCATTTCCTTTCAAAGTACGGTTCTGTTCATTCATTATTTGCTCTTCCATAATAAAAATCTAATGAAACGTTTGCCTTTCATGAAGTAGTGTTGCCATATATGGTCTAGAGCCGCTTTTTTTTGCCTCGGGGTTCTTGATAAGATCCAGAGACGGATATGCAATGTAACTGGCTCTAATCTGGCATCTCGTCAGCATTTGATCTCTCGCAGACATGCTGTCGCCTCTCTGTGTCTTTTTTTAGAAATAATTTCATAGTAATTGTTCTGATGAGCTGCTTTCGCCGGTTCCCAGACTTCATGAATTCAAGCGTCCTATGAGGGTGACATACCGCTCTCACCTTTTCACTGTTGAAACTCTTAAATGTATCCGTCTTTTCTACTTCAATAGCTTTATATCTCGCACCTCTCGCCTTTGGAACGCCCTTCCATTTTCCTGTTTCCCTGATAGCTATAATCTCCAACTATTCAAATTTAATGTCAATCGACATCTCCAGCTGCCTTTATCTATCCACTATCCTTCTCCTCTTCTTTCCCCTATCACTTCTATCCGCTCTCGCTCCAAATCATCCGTAACCCCTTGCTTGCTAGTGGCTTGCCGCCTTGCTTGGGGGTGAAATGTTTATATATATATATATATATATATATATATATATATATATATATATATATATATATGTGTGTGTGTGTGTGTGTGTGTGTGTGTGTGTGTGTGTGTGTGTGTGTTTATCCTCGGTATATATCGACGGATCTAATTTAATTTATGTAACATAGCTATTCACACGACTAACATGAAATTATGTCAAAAAATGAGAAAAATTAGTAGTCATATTCCATATTGAAAGGACAAAACATACACATATATACTGAAATATGAATTTAAAAAGATGTATTGATAATAAAACAAAACAAAAAGAATACTAGAACATTATATAACTGTATGATACTTTACCCACGACTGTTCATATGTCTGGGATAATATTCATGTGAACAAACACTCGGGTGTGACAGATTAAGCAGATGTATGAATATTTTAGGGGTATTTCTACTTTAAAACATAGTTTTCCTAATCTCTAACCAATGTTGGAGAAGAAACATGTTTTGTTTGACAGCCACTTAAAAAAAAAACTATTGAAAATACTGTCATAATATTCAAACAACAAAGCAATTAGCAGGTTGGGGTTTCGGGCCATTATTTCCGCCTTATCAACCCTGACTTCTAAACATACAGAAAATACCAAAATTATTAAAGATAATTGTTATAAAAATGGAGATTGGAATGTTTCCTAACAAAAGTTAAAGTATTCTTATTCAAGAGTTGTTCTTAAGTGAATATATCGAAAAAAATGGAATTGGAACTCGGCTCTCCAATTAAAACATTCCGAGCCATTTTTCTATTACACCACCCGCACGTACAAGCTGACAACACCTGGTGTTCCCAAGCGGTCACCTATCTGCGTACTGACTAGGCTCGATATAGCTTAACTTCAGTGAATCTATGGGAACAGGTGTATCAACGTGATCTGTCTGTAAACTGCATCACATGAAATAAAAACCTTTCGATAAAAACAATGTCTTATTCAAAGTGTCACGGAAAGGTGAATTCAAGTTTCCATGAAATTCTCATTTAATAATAATTTAAAATCTTATTCAGATTTCCTTTTTAAGAAATGCCTTCCATAGAATAGCGATTAAATATTGAAGTATTATCTGTTCAACTTAATACAAAGCGTATTAACACTCATAATCAATCTTTCATCTTTTTAGAGATTACACTAATCTTAGAGAGAGTAGTAAGACTTGGGTGATGTTTAGAAGATTTCATTCTTTTTTTTATCCAATCAAAGTACTAAAATAATGATCCGATTATCAAGCTGGGTAGTCTGGGGCTGATGTTTGGGTTTTGGTGCCTCAACATTGCAGGACTTCAAAAGCAGCTATAAAATACACGCTTTCAACTTTTGCTCATTCCTTATTTTCTTCTTGGTTTTGACACTAAAATTAAACGTAAGTAGGGAAGATGAACACTTCATCTAAATTGTGGATTTTCAAATTATAGATGACTCCTCAAAAACAGGAAGATTAAATCTTTGCTCTATATATTATCAGATACTTCCTAATTTTCTTAATGATATACGCTTTAATCATTGTTTTACGTTATTATTTGTCAACCAACACGAAGACATGGGAAACTGGAATGGTTTACCCTTGCCTTCTTCACAGTTTGAAATTTTAAGATTTTCTTCGCTCATACTTCTAGTGAAGTCTAAAAAAAATTATCTATCCGGTTATATAATCCATATCTGTGACCACAACCAATTTCACGGCAATTGTCCGTTACAAGTTTTAATATCTGGACAAAGAAGAAAGCGTAAGAAATCTTGTAGAGATATAATCGACAAAAAACATATAAGATAAGGATTAGAGTCGAGCAGAATAACAGAATAGGGAATTAGATTAGTTAACTATACACATGCATTTTTGAAGGTGCTAGCTAGATATTACCATTAGTAGTAGTATTAAAATCAGTGCGCGTAGCAGTTTTATTGTTATTCTATCATGTGACAGACGGTAGACGATCGTTACATAACTTCCTATCTTTTGCAGCGCTAAACAATTACTGACATTTTTCTATCACTTTCTGTTCTACTGTTGTATTCCCTCAAACAAATCAGTCAAATAATTCCCATGAATTCTCTTGCATTCAATAATTCTTTGAGTTTAAAATCCTGTGTTCTTGTCTCATTATGTATGCTATATATGTGACATGGCTCTCTGGTATCTATCTATCTATCTATCTATCTATCTATCTATCTCATGTTGTCTGTCTGTGTGTCTCTCGTGGGAGTTGTTACCTCGCCCAGGCCGCATTTCTCACCCGATTTCGATGCGGTTTTCACCACAAGTTTGCAAAGGGCTGCCTTAAGGACATGACGGAGCCCGATTTTTCAGTTCGGACTCAGGTTCCGAAAAAGTCGATAATGTTGTCTGTCTGTGTGTCTGTCGTGGGCGTTGTTACCTCGCCCAGGCCGCATTTCTCACCCGATTTCGATGCGGTTTTCACCACAAGTTTGCAAAGGGCTGCCTTAAGGACATGACGGAGCCCGATTTTTCAGTTCGGACTCAGGTTCCGAAAAAATCGATAATCGAAAAAAATCTGCTTACAGAAGGAATTATTGCATTTCAACCAAATTTGACACCCTTTAGTCTACCTTTAGAAGTGTTGTCCAGCAGTTTCATGACCACGGACCCCTAAACAGCGCGGAAAATCGATAAAACCCAAAAGCCGATACGCTCAGATTGCACTTGAACCGCATGTCGGTTTTTAGCGAAAACCGAGCGGATTTATGAGGCGGTCATTGGGAGTCACCATATGAATTTTCAACTCTGAGCGCCCCTCCTCAAACAGAGGGCAAATGGACAATCGGTCAACCCTTAAAAATGTTTTTCCGGTTGGGTATTTCCTAAATGCAGATTAATTTAAGGTCACGCTATGCGCGGGAAGAAACAGGTCAGTTGTTGCAGTGGAGTGGAAGAAAACATTTGACCTCAAATTCTGGAATGGGTGCAAGGCCATTGAAATTCGGCTTATTTATCCCTGCTACCAGGTCTGACTTTTAGCCACAAATGACATATTCGACTTTGTCAACACTTTTGCTTTAATCGTCGCATCTTACCAAAATAAGCAATTCCTTTATTCCCGTCTTTACTGAAAAAAAAACCCCGCATACGTGTTGAGTGAAAAGTCTTTAAACCTTTTCCCCTAGCCCAGGCCGCAACCCAGACCTGACGAGGAGTTTTTGCGGTAAAACTGCAGGGCTTCCTCCCAATCCATTTCAAGGCTAATGCCGGCAAACGGTTAGCGGCATTTAGTTGTCGCACAAACCAAACGAGCAAACGCTTCATTGCAGCTTCTCATCGCCGGCATCACGTGAGTTAGAGCCAAGCTGCATACGCAGCAGGCAGTTTGACCCCGTTTACGGCCAAGCCTTGCGCTTGCCAAATCATGCGCGCGTGCGTGAATGCGCGCTAGCATCTTCCATTTTGCGTGAACTCATGCATTGGTCTAAGTCATGACTATTGTCCAGGCTACATCAATCAATGACAAGTCACGCACCCTTTAAATACCTTCAGCGCGGCTGCATCTGCACTCAGGTCTTGATTTGATCGCCATTAACGCATCTGTGCTTGGATCAATTGACAGTTTCCTACTACCGCAAGTTACCTATTTCCTTAAACGTTTGCATTATCCATTTTATCTCCGCGTGCTGCCTCTACTGCGCAGCCCAGTCCATCTTAGCGTTCCATACCTATTTCTACCTTTTCCTAGTTCACTTTTGCTATTAGACAGTTAACTGCTGTCGCAAGTTACTTATTGTTATAGTGGAACACACATTTTCTATAGTTAATAGACTCCCACCTATAATAAGTAGGATTAGTAAGAGTAAAGAGGCAGTCGGTGAGTCGGTCGGCCAGTCAATCGATGCTGGACGACAGTCGAATACTAAAGTATCAGCGACCACTAGATTACTCAGCGTTATACCTATTATATATCAAGTTCCTAACGTTTTGTATGTTGAACCTATTTTAGGACCGACTTAGTACAAATACAAGCCTCCACTGTGAAATCCCTCCACAACACTTATTTATTCAATCGTTTGCCCAACCTATTTTACCTCCACATTACAGTTTTCACTGTAAGTTGAAGTGTACTGCCTTTACTACGCGGCCCACTACACCTCAGTACTTCACTGCATATTTGCTTATACGTTTGCATTACCCATTTTATCTCCGCGTGCTGCCTCTACTGCGCAGCCCAGTCCATCTTAGCGTTCCATACCTATTTCTACCTTTTTCTTAGTTCAGTTTTGCTATTAGACACTTAACTGCTGTCGCAAGTTTCTTCTCCTCTGCCTTTACTACTGCGGCCCAGTACACCTCAGTGTTTCACTACTTTTTAACCTTCAACGCTTCAGCGTTTTGGTTGCGTAACCTCTTCCTACAGCGACGTTTTCGTTCTGCCAGAAAGCACGTCTTAGCTAGGAGAAGATTTTTCCATACCGCTCCACTGCATTTTTAGTCTTCGTATACAACGAGGTTGCACCGTTTCAGCTTCGGCATCAACTTCTATTCGCTTTCTTAATTTCATTTCTACAACCATTCAAATGACTCCTACAAGACGAACATCCGCACGTCAGCAACTGATAATCCTTAATACGGTAAACGTTACACATGCAGAACAGGCGACTGCGGATGAGCACATAATAACTCCGGTTACAGATAATCATATAGCGTCTACTTCAACTTCTGCTTTGCACTCTTCTGCGTGCCGTAGCGATGACCAATCCGACAGCTCTGCAAAGGCTGCAAAAACACCCAGGGGAGGAAACCATAGCCGGCGTTCTAAAAACGTCTCACTTGCTAAGGGGAAACGGGAGCAGGATTCCATTGAGTGCGTCTGCTTGGGGGAGAAGCGGTTGGCGTCTATTTCAACCTCTGCTTTGCACTCTTCTGAGTGCCGTGGCAATGACTGACCCGGCAGCTTTGTTAAGCGTGCCAAAATACCATGGCGAGGCAACCTTAGCAGGCGTTCTAAAAGAGCCTCAGCGGCAAAGAGAAAGCGGGAGGAGGAAACCGAGGTAGAGGCCTCTTTGAGGCTTTCCAGTCAATCTCAACGGAGGCAGTATGTTTTGTCAGATGAAACGCTTTGTGAGCGTAACTACCGTTTGTATTGCAAATCAGTTTACACATATTCATTGAAAAGTAAGAGGAAACTACCTAAACGCTTGCAAGACAACAAAAAAAGCGGCTTCATCACAAGCGGTTTTTACGGTCTCGACAGAGCCCACATCGAAAAGCTACTCGTAATGCAGCCGACGCCGCTGCAACTTCCATCCGACGGTCCCAGGAGACCACGGCTGAGAAAATCGCACGCCATGCAGCCGACGCCGCTGCAGCTTCTGCTGCAAGGGCGTCGGAAAGTTCCGCCCAAAAGCGCACAAGGCGGCAACGCGATGCTATTTCAACTTCCGCTGCTAGAGCTGTAGAAGGACCTACTGAAAGGCTTGAAAGGTTGCAGACTGTTAACCAACGCCGCCATGCACAGCGAGGGCTCTGTAGCCGACCAAAGCAGTTTTGGTTTAAGCTGGCGTTCAACTATGTGACAGTTTTGAGGCTTTCCGGTCGCAAATAGGATTCATGTCAGTTGTCTATGGGCATTGCAATGCCAAACAATGGCCTGGAGAATGTGCAAGTTTGTGTTGTTCAGACGGTAAGGTAGAGTTGCCACTTTTTCAAGAGCTACCTGCTCCGTTCCAGTCCAGACTCCAAACATTTCCTCGCAAAAATCAGACAGTACAATTGTGCCTTCCAGATGACCTCTTTTGGTGGTAATGCCTTCCGCGAAGTCGGTTAAAATCCCACCTTTGAGGTTCAAGGTCAGGTTTACCACCGGATTGGGCTCTTTTGCCGGAAACTGCCACTGATTCGGCCTTTCTACAACTATACTTCATAGCTGA